GCCTGATAAGAGCCTCGTGGCGCAGTGGTTAAAACGCTGTACTGCAGCTAAAAAAACTGCTCACAACCTGGGGTTCAAATCCCAGGTAGCCGGCTCAAGGTTGACTCAGCCTTCTGTCCTTCCAAGGTCGGTAAAATGAGTACCCAGCTTGCTGGGGGGGAGCAATGTGTAGCCTGTATAATTAAATTGTAAACCGCCCGGAGAGTTCTTGTAGCGCTATGGGGCGGTATATAAGTCCAAAAATAAATAAAATAAAATAAATAAAATTGACAGTATTTGTGGCTCCATTCATCTTGATGTAGGGCAGCAAATCAGCAAATACAGAAAACTGGGAGTGTTGAACTTCATTTAAAATAAAAAAAAAATTCCAATCCAAAAAACACAGCCCATCAGATACCCTAATTTAAGCCTCCTGCACTTCCCTCCCAAATGTTCAAGTAAATCTTAGTAAGTATCATTTTGCAAAGGAAGACCCACACCACACACTCCTGAGAGTGATTTAAAATGACATTTTTGCAGTCATTATCCATACCGTTCCTTTAGCCTTCCCCCAAATTCTGAATGTGTTGTGCTCCACTGTTGAGCATGAAAGAACATCAGCCCTGAAAGGACATGGCTGAGGGTTCTTTCCCAATGTGCTGGGTGTGCTGTGTACCAGGTTGCGTTGGACAGAAGGAAAGAAAGGGAAGACTCCTGATCCAGATGAGAAGAAAGCAGAAAGGCCTCCTGCTTCTGAATCTGCAAAATTCAGGATATGAAATGCAAAGTCAAAGACATCTCTCTCTATACACATCTGCAATCAGTTCAAGGGTTTGTTCACCTGCTGAAAGCCAAAGTCAAAATCATCCATACAATATAAAATATGGGCAGTGAGGAAAGATGGGGGCGGATCAGCTCATTTGAGAGGTTGTGTTTGGAGGTCAGCTTTACAGACCCCCAGAAAGGCAGTAAGTTGGTGCTCAATAAGTCAAGTCTGAACTCGCAATAGAACAAAATTGAGTATGAGGCTATCCTGCCTTGCACATATAATGGGAATACAGAGCTGACTGCAAGAACCAATACTTTTGGGGAAAGGGGTGTGGAGGGAGACTCTAGGAAAAGAGGCAGGCCTAACATGAGACACGTTGTCTCGATAAAGGAATCCACAGCTATTAGTTTGCTAAACGTAAGCTGAATTTACTGGAAAGGACAACAGTGCTAGGAATTGAGACCATTAGGAAGAGACAATGACCTAACATGAGATGTTGTTGGTTTGCAAGATCTGAGGAGAGCTGTTAAAGATAGGACATTTTGGAGGTCATTAACTCACATAGTCGCCACACATCAGAAGTGACTTGATGGCACATCTTTGGAGGTTTAATTTTTAATTACCAAGTAATTGTATAGTGACAAGATTGGTGGAATGGTGGAAGTATAAACTACTAACTGGAAACTATGACAGGATATAGACACCAAAGCTTTGCTAGCATTGGGTAAAACCATCACCAATCACAAAGCAAAAAAGAGTAATTTCATAGCTGAGCTGCTGAATATTTGTTTGGTGTTCTTTTAAAAATATATTTAAAAAAATATTTTTTTAATCTTTATATTTTATTTTTAAAATAGTTTTTGTTTTTTTCATTTTTAAGAGACATAGAATTCCCTTGCAAGCATGAATCCCATAAGCCTGTTTGGCCAGGAACGAGTAAAAAAAGTTAGGCAAGATTCAGCTAATTGGGTCCTGATTGACAGGGTCAAAAGTTCAGATTGCCACAGTGAAATACTTTGCATGTCTTACAAAACTGTATTCTAATTCCCTGAAAATACATAACAAAATGTCCGCCTTTCTGGAGGACTGTCACTCCATTACGTTCTTTAAAGCAAACCTGTGCGGTGTTTTATTACTCTTTAAAGAAAATGTCTGTGACAAATTTGATGCTGACCAGAATGCTGGTTTCAACGTTATGTTTTGTTTGGAATGTAACAGAGTTTAGAATTGCCTTGTAGAATGTTGGTTTGCTCTCCTGCACAATAACATAGTTGCACTCTCTTGCAGCTATAATACTGTTTAGAATCCTATTACATTTCATGTAAGTTTTGCATAAATGTGGCTAATGACAGTTAATTGATGAGGTGATGTCGCATGTCTTATCCTGTGCCTGACTGGAAAACCAAAGTGTGTTCCAGCACCTCATCGGGTAGCCACAATTACTTGTGGTCCTTAATGCAAACCTTTTGTGCAGATCAGTAGGATACTAGCCACTATTTATTTTTAACAGATTGTTTTAAAGTAATAATAATGATTTTAAGAGCAGTACATTCTGCAGAAGAAAACAGTAAGCAATATATTACTGAGCCAAGTAAATGTTTTTACTTTTGAGACAGATAAACATATGTGAGCTGAAAACAAGATTGTCACCATGCACTGTATTTAAGGGCTGTACAGCAACTTGTATTGCTAATTAGCAGATTATTAATATTGTAAATATGGTGTATAAAAATACAATAAAGAAGGGTGGGGAAAATAAATGAGGAAGGAGAAAGAAAAACATTATATTTCCAGTTTAATAGGTATATGCTGATTTATATTTAGAAGTCATAGTTCTTTATAACTTCAGTATACATAGTAACCAAGGTACCAGAATTCTGAAAAAGGGCCAAGAGTTATTAATGTTACCTTCTTTCATCTGACAGAAAATATTGTCTGTAAGAAAAGCTATATGAAAAGCCTTTTTTATAAACTATAGCTGACTAGAAATAACTGTCATGTTCTTTCACAATTTGACGTTTAGCTACAGTCATTACCATTAAGCTTTTTCTAAGCTCAGGTGTTTTGGAAAAGACTGAGATATTGCAGGGAAAGAATTTGTAGTGATTTCATAGGAATCTTATAAGCCATGATACATCTAATATATTAGATGTCCAAAGTGATTTTGCCCTTTTGAGCTGTCCCTAGTTCACAACTGTAGTAGCAATTTCATCCAAAGTGCTTTTATATGATTATCTCCTTGCTGAAAGGAGGGAAGACATCTCCCTTGAGGCTGTATGGCTAGATGACAGAAGAAGGAGGCTGTGGAGATGCAGTTCCAGAGAGTGGTGGGAGTAGGTGCAAATATAGGTCCAAGGGATCTTGGAGTTTGAGGAAGATCCCAAATGCTGTTTCTCGTCCGCTTGGACTAATATTTTTCCAAAACAATGTTTTTGTTACACTGCTCAGACATGAAATCCTTCCTGCATCTATTTCTCCTCATGGTGCTTCTCAGGCAGCACTACATCTCCCTTTGGCAGGTTACAGCTGATCGTTGGAGACACTTATCTCAGCCATGTTGAGCATGTTTTTGAAGGTTCACTAGGGCACAACCCCCCTGAGGTTCAGCATGACAAAGAGGCTGAATTCTATCACACTGGCCTATTATACATCCAGTATATGCTGCATGTAATTTGCTGCATCATTTCCTTCGTGGCATGTTTCAGTCACGTGCCTAGTAATGCATCCAGCTGAACATCGAAAATAGACCCTAGCACCTTATGATTTAGCCACAAATAACCATGTCAATGTAAGCAAAGTGTAGGATTTTGGCACTATTTTTATATATATATAGGAGCAGACAGAATGCATAGTTTTACTTTTGGTGATGGCAGAAGGCCTAGAAATAGGTACACTGGCTGCAAGAACAGCTTGGTAGTTCAGGCTCATAAGAATTAGATACTGTATCATGCAGTGAAAGTGTCCAGAATGATTTTCGCCTCATGTTCCACACAGTTTAATCCAGAGTAGTATTCTTAAAATGCAGAACTAGCCATGCAATTTTAGGGTCAGGGTTCAGAGGTGTGAATGATTCTTGAAGGGAGTAAGCTAAGTAGAGGCCTTGGCTCAGCTATTATTTCATTAACAGGTATTTAACAGTAGTAGTGGTTTCCGTGTTTTGCCTTCCCACATAGAAATAATTGTGTGTTCTGGAGCCCAAAGTAATTATGTATCACGCATGTTTTTGAAAGTAGACTGAGAAAATAACTGTAATATTTCATTTTAAAGATTTTTTTTTTAAAAAAGCATCCCTATAACTACTGACTAGCACTGTATGAAACTTTAATGGAGTAATCTTTCCCTTCTTGGCATGTAATGATTTTACCATTACAGGAAATACATGCACATGTATCATGTACATTATATCAGAAGAAATGATATGGGGTAATTGTATTAATATTATTTGAACCATTAACCCGTATTCTGTCTGTATCATATACATAAAGGGTAATGAGTTAGTTTGTTTTCAAGCTGGAAAATATCAAAATTAAAGCTGCAGGAAAACTATGTGGGTTGTGAATAAGTGATTCAAGCTGTCAATATTTTCCTCATACCAGGTGAGCATGTCCAGGTATGCACATACTACAGTCATAGTGTGGTTCTCAAAACACTAGCTACTGTATTGTAATTCCTTGTCTGTGTAACTCTCTTGAAAGGGATTGAGAAGTATAACTGGCGTAGTCTATATACCTGCTAAAAGAGCTATGTTCCTGTAATATTCTCTCCTATGAGATTTATTTGGCTGCTCATATAGATTCATGTGACTGCAGAAGAGTAACAAGAATAGATGTGTAATTGTATTTTCCTGCCTAGCCTTACACTTTCTGCTTCAGAAAACCAAAGAGTCCAGGATGAAAGGCATTAAGGTTGTCAGCTGCTCATGAGGTTGCAATAGGCGTTATTCATATTTTGATACATAACGGTATAATCCTTGCATGCAATGAGCCTAAAGACAGTACCCAATTATAGTACCATGATGCCACTTTAATAGTCATGGCACCGTCCTGTGGAATCCTGGGAATTGTAGTTTGATGAGAGACTTAGACTTCTCTGCTAGAGAGTGCTAGTGTTATACTTCAGAGAAGTCTAGAGCTCACTGGAAACTTAAACGTGTTGTTAAATTGAAGGATAATTTTAAAATATTGTTTTAAAATTGTTATATGCTTAATCATGTTCCTGTCCTTAATCATGTTCCTCTCATTGATTTTGACAGAGGAGGCTCATCAGGATGAGACCGAAGTGAATGAGAATGCAGGTCAGTCTCTCTCTCTCTCTCTCTCTCTCTCTCTCTCTGTGTGTGTGTGTACACATGTGTGTTATGTGTTTCTCTGTGTATGTATAACTATACCTTTCTGTTGCATCTGATTTTACAGCTGAAATCAATGCAGAATATTTCAAGCATAGTCAGAATCTGAGATTACTAGAAGATTTCTGCAATTTTGGCATTGCTTGATATTTTGGGGATTTTGTATGAGCAAAGGATGTATGGAAACTGTGAGCACAGTTATACTAGGAGACAAACCTGCATTTGAATTGGATTTAACATGTTTCAACGGTGACTATGTGATGCACATGGAAGCTCAGACTTTTCCCCCCAGGAAGTATGTCTGTTTAGTTGGAAAGCAAGGCATTTTACTCAGTGGAGGTTACACTGGAACAGTTTAACCCCATTATTTTTTCAAAGGACAGCCTTATGAGCAAATAGGAAAATATATGTAGGATGATGTTCAGAGTTCAGTCCATAGAACAAAGAGAAAGATAACTCCTCCTGATGTCACTTCTCCAGTTTTACAAACTCTCAGGATAACTTCCAAATGCTTTTGTATGGGTGCCAGACATAATGTCAGGATTATTAAAGCAGCCGTCCACTAGTGTTCATGGATCCAGTGAAGATCAGATGTTATTGTCGAGGTAATGTGATGTCCTCTTTTAGTTCTGCCCTACTGCTGTGCAGAAAAAGCTTATCATATGATGCTCTGCCTTCTACTGCTCATTGAGCAGGCTGCCTTTGGCCCCAGAGCCCCAGAGCGACTTTAGCAAGTCTGTTGCCTGCAGGCAACAAATGTGAAGCAAATGTTAGCGCCTCTCTGAGACCATGGAAGATGGCAGGAGCTGAACAGCATATATCAAAGGAGGGGAACACCAACTGTACCCAGAAGGACTCCAAAAACCCTCTTTCCCTTTTTATTAGTATGAGCTTGCTTGCTTCAAAAGTGCTATGGGCCATGTATTTTCAGGCCATGCCTCTCCTCCTTTGGTCCCCCCAGATGAACTTGGAGTTTCATTTTTTCGTCCTACCATTCCCAAATAAAACAGCCATAGTCGCAGTGAAAAGCATGGCCTTTACAACACTCACCCCAAAGTTGTGGGAAAACCTTTGAGGCCCATCATGATTCTTCTCCATCATGTTCTCGAAGGTGGTACAAGGTGCATCTCTACTCTCTTTTTCTGAACATTTTGTTTTTTAGTTGCTTGTATGTAATTCTTTAAATCTGTTCCATTTTTCTGCCTGGCTTTTCAGAAAGGGAGCTAAACATGCTTCTAATAGGTTGGGATGCACAGCATTTTCTATCCCAAGATGCTGCAGTTGGTGTCGGTGGAAAGATTACGGGTCACACATCTAGACGGACACATGCTTTCCCCCCCTTCCCTCCCAGTTTACCAAATGGACTTGGCAAGTTCCCTTAAGGTGGCTGTTTTCCTGATGCTACTTGCAGTTGATAATACAGTGGTTTCTGAAGTGATGAAACATCATTTTTCCTTCCATACTCCATCTGAACAACATGGGTAGGCAAGGAAAACGGGTTTCCAGACCTTGTCCTTCTGTGGCATGTTCATCCTCCTTGTTACAGGGTTTTCACATAGTCATTGAAAATAATGTAAGTAATAACATACTGCTCACTGCTATCCATAGTTTTGTTGTTTATAATGCTTAGTGACATTTTCATATTTTTTAAAGATGTGACAGTATAATGTGTTTGGGAAATCCATATGTGGACAAACTAAGGCATATACATATTTGTCCTTGCATATTTAATGTTATTTCAGAAGTCCAGGGAAAAACTTCATTCTAAGCACAACATTCTGTTATCATTTCTCTGTAATATATGCTCATATGTGCCTAAACACCCAAAGACACATGTGCAGCGTAAGTTAATTTAATTTAGTTTTTTAAAAGCCAGTTATGACTTGCAGCTCAGATTACTAATTTAAAAGAAAAAGTTTTATTCTTGTCTGTTTTGCTCAGGGAGTAAGATATTGGTATTTCCTCTTCTCTTCAGTCTTTGAAACTTAATTCCAATTAGACTGTGCTACGGGTCCATGCAAAATTAGCCCATTGGACTGGAATGTGAGGCTCTGCAGGTGTGTTTTCAGTTAGACATAGGTTCAGGTTTGCCACAGGCATGTCATCACTCACGGAGGCATCGGGCCATCTGAGCTGGAGCTGGAGCAAGCAGACACAGTGCACCTGTGGGACAGAAAGCAATATATATGTGAACTTTGAAAGGGGGGCTACATGAACACTGGGTGCCTAAAGAAGAAGAGAGAAGACAGACAAACTTGTGAGAATCTCACTTCCCAGTGGTGTTAATCAGAATTGGCTTGGTATGGGTTGAATAGAGCAGTGATCCCCAACCTTGGGCCTCCAGATGTTCTTGGACTACAACTCCCAGAAGCCTTCACCACCATCTCTGCTGGCCAGGATTTCTGGGAGTTGAAGTCCAAGAACATCTGGAGGCCCAAGGTTGGGGACCACTGGAACAGAGTATAGGACAAAGCAAATGGCAGCCATCCCCTCCCCAGGGCATTTGGAGGGGACAAAGCACTGCCGAGGCAGAACAAAGCTGACTTCTGACAGATCAGAGAAATAATGTCTGGAATCCTTTTTTTTTTTTAGCTGCAACATCAGTTTTGCAGGAGAGCTTCTCTTCTTGGCAGTTCACCCTTGTGTTCCAACACCAGCTCAGTCTGCATTAAATTATATGTGATGCGCTTATACCTCTTTTCAGGAGTCCACCCACAGTCTCTTTCGCTGTTTCCTGCTTCAGAGTCTTTGTTCATTCATTAGTTTCGGTTGAGGCCTACAACTTGTCTATCCACAAAAAAGCTATTATGCCCCAATGCCTTTCTCTATACCTTCCCTCATTCTGATGGCAACATTTGCTAGTTTAAGGCATGTGTGGAGATATGTATCAACCAAATTACACCATGAAAAACCAAATAAGAATGGGGGCAGGGGCAGTGGAAGCATTACTACAGCATAGTGGTGGACTCAAATGAGGAAGGAGACACTTCATCCTAAAATGATGAGAGGAGGTGCCTTCCACTTACTCCCTGAGTACCCATGTGTCTGTGGGATGGCTCCAAAATGTGTTCCATTCCATCCAAAAGTGTCTTCATTCCATCCAAAATTTTTGATTAGATCTAGTGGAGGAATCTCGTTGGTGAAATGGAGACGATGGAAACCTATGTCTGGAAGACTGGGAGAAGTTGGACTTGGGGGGGGCGCTACAATGAAAGGGTAGAATTAGAAAATATTGCCTCTCCCCATTTTTACTGGTTAGAAGCATTCTGAGTACAGTAGAACACTGGTAAATAAATGCCATTAGCAGAATCCAACCTAGCGAAAACTTTGGTATATTACTTACTCAGGTAAAGCAATATCTCTGCCTCTCTTTTCTGAGAAATGGCCAGGTTCTGCAAAGCGGATCTGAACTTACTCTGTTTGGAAATGGATGTTTGATGCTCAGTTCATCCCTGCATTGTAAAAAGGCACTGTAATTGTTGTTTTCCTTGTGTCTCTCAGAGGCTTAGGCCACTGTGTCCCATGTGTATGTGAAGCATAATATTTGTGAGCCATCAAACTAGCGCCTGCATGAATTAGCCATATGCATCTGTAAATATTCAATAGTAGAGGATTTGTTCTTTCCAAGAAAAGCATCTTCTTGTTCAGCATGACAGATATTTGAGGTTGTAACTGTAATTAGCCATTTCCCACCATTAATAGACTTCCAGCTCATTACTTTCACGGGTCATGACTCTGGCAGACTGAACCCTTAGGTTTAGCTTGTCTTTTTGAATTACTGCCGCTGCTTCCATGCAGTCTGTACACATGTTCCGCAAATAACCTTAAGAGACCGACTCCCCCAAAGGTGTTCCAGAAGTACGCATTTGTAACCCTTCCCCACCCCCATCGCGTACTTTTCACATTAATGGCTCAGTTTTAAAACTGAAATACCTCTGGCGTAATAAATAAAGCACAAGATATGCACCATAGGGCCTGAATACAGTCTTATGTAAAGCCACTTGGAGGTGTGGGTTGGAGACTGCTTTTCTGTCAGGCTCTTGAAACAGCTTTAAAAGAGATGATGATGATGATGATGATGATGATGATGATGATGATGATGATGATGATGATGAAGATGAAGATCTTAGAACTGCAGGGACCTTGTGGATCATCAAGTCCAGCCCTTTTCAAGGAGGCGCAGTGGGGAATCAAACTCCCAACCTCTGGCTCTGCAGCCAGACGCCTAAACCAGCAGTTCGGATGAAGAAACAACAGGTGGCCAAGTGACTGGCATACGGAGAAAACTGTAATTTCTGTTTTACATGTCTCAGAGCCACCAAGGAATGTACTTATCTTACCTTTGTAAACTATGCTTATGTCAGTGAGTGTCAGGCTCCGCTCCCTCCCAAAGGAACAGCAGGATGTTTATGTTCCTAATATAATCTTTCCAGAGACCAGCCACTAATGTTTGAGTTTGGCAGGTCATTAAGACTCAAGCAGAGGAAAGAGAAATTTAATAACAGGTTTTGTAGAATAATGATCGTACATTTGTTTTATCATTTTGCAATGAAAACGGATATAGAGAAAATATTCTCAACGTGTAAAGTGTGTGTGTGTACTTGTTCTGAGATAGCATATCCTAAATTGTGGTTATAGTCCAGATATTGCTGAAGTCAAAGACGTATCTTCTCTCATTAATTTAAATGAACCTGGATTCTGTTCCATGACAGTCAATTACCTCCCCCAAAGCCTTTTCTCCTCTTAAGAGCCGCTGGTGTATTTCAATATTCAACCAGAAATGCTGTAGCAGCACCACACCTCCCACAGCCTATTGCTGAGCTGGCTTTAATCAAACGGGCAGATGTATTTAAGGCTTGCTAAGATGGCTTTTTAAGATGCCTGGTGTGCTCTGGTCCATGGGGTCACGAGAGTCGGACACGACTAAACAACGAAGATTGCCAGTAGGTAGTTCCTAGGATGTTATAGTGACACATTGGGACTTAGGAGGCCTGAGTTTGAATCCCAGCTCTGCCATGGAAACTCACTGAGGGTACAGAACTGATGCTCCTTAAATGCTTAACTTACCTTAAAAACTCTATTAGGGTCATTATAAGTCAGTAGTGACTTGACAGCCCATAACAACAAAGTTTCTAGCAGTCCTTGAATTGTGTGTGTGTATTTTCCATGCATGGAGAAAAGGCACATGGACCTAGTTAACCTTTTCCAGCAGTAGCAGTGCATGTGTGCTTAGGTGTAAAATCCCAACTGCACAATTACACATCTTTTAAATGTATTTGAGCAAGTTTTCTTGTTCTGTTGCTTTTTTCTGAATTTTTAAGTATTTAGTTTCAAGTTTCCTGCACTTCTTAAAATTTACTGTTCTTTTGCTTTTATAACTAAGTTTATGTGAAAGAAACATGTATAAAATTTAGTTGCGTTTCTAGAGCAGACAGCACATTTATGAAATATTTATAAGTTATCCGCACAGAATCAGAGCTTGGAAATACGTGGAAGTTGTTCTCCAAAAAAAGTGTTTTCTCCAAGTTCTGCTCAGTATAAATGGATGGTGGATCTATCTATCTATCTATCTATCTATCTATCTATCTATCTATCTATCTATCTATCTATCTATCTATCTATCTATCTATCTATCTATCTATCTATCTATCTATCTATCTATCTATCTATCTGTCTGTCTGTCTGTCTGTCTGTCTGTCTGTCTGTCTGTCTGTCTGTCATCTGTCTGTAATTTGCGAATCTTTGTGCATTTCTTTATTGAAGCTGTGTTACTTCTGGATTGATATATCTCTTTCTCACTCCTCCCACCTTCACTCTTTTTATACTGGCACCTTAGGATTTTTTGCTTGAAAATCAGTGTTGTGATAGGGCACATTACCTTAGATGACCTAGGACTGCATTCTTGTATATTCTTTATACCTAATGGATGTGGTACTAAGTATATGTTAAAAGTGTTGTTCTTACACTCCACATGATTTTTCTTTTGTTTTTGCTGTCAATCAGTACTTACTGAACTGATCATGTTAATCTAATAAAATCCATATATAATGATATTGTTTGACAATTTAAGAACTGTGTCTACACGAGCGCCCAATTCCTATTGATCTGAAGGGAACTTTTAGCCTATAATACATTATTACTGCCTGATATGCAACTAGAACTTGTATTTCTCTTCATTCCTTGTAGTCTCCCATGGCCTCCATGAATGGGGTTGTTGAATGGCCCTTGGAGAAGTTACACAGGGAATGGACAAGATGGGATTGCTTTATTAAGACCAACAATTTATAACTCCCTGACCATGCACAGTCCTTGTTGCAGGCAGATCTCTCTGGCTGCATTGCATGATTTGCCCTCAGCCTCAGTCACCCAGGCTGTCAGTCCAAAGTTCTCCGAGTGACAGAATTACTAGGCCTGGTGTTTACATCTCTAGTGCTACTTCTGTGCTGGGGTGGTTACCTCCTTCCAGGGTAACAAGATCAATATGTTGTCCAATACAGACTTCAAGGCCCAATAGTTGTGGATACCACTTCCTGCAAGAGTTCTGCTGATACCCCCAGTTTAATCTCATCCCTCTGCCTCTTGCTGTTGGTGTTGTTGTCTTCCTCCCTTCCCTTGCATTTCTCACCCTTTTATACAGGGTCTCCCCCTTCTTGTGTTCCTCTCTCTCTCTCCTTAACCTTTTACATGTCTGTCCTGTATGCTAAGATCATGTATCGTAAATCGAATCCACGCGACTGAGTGAGCTCCCATCACTTGTCCCAGCTCCTGCCAACCTAGCAGTTCGAAAGCATGCAAAATGCGAGTAGATAAATAGGTACCACCTCGGTGGGAAGGTAACGGCGTTCCGTGTCTAGTCGCGCTGGCCACCTGACCACAGAAACAGTCGTTGGACAAACACTGGCTCTATGGCTTGGAAATGGGGGTGAGCCCCACACCCTAGAGTCGGACACGACTGACTAAATGTCAAGGGAAACCTTTACCTTTACCATGTATGCTCCCTGACAATTCCCTGTGCATCTCACACATGATGGGCAGCTCCTATCCTTATGAACTCTCCACTCTGGTGCCCCATGTTGGCTGATCCACTATTGGCACTCTCACCAGTAGTCACCTCTCTGGCCACACCCACTCACGGATGTCACATCAAGAGGTGCATTGGGAGACACAGTGGTGCGCCCAGCCTGGGGAACTCTGTCACTCCCATCACAGTGCTAGAAGTTGATACAACTGCATGATAGTATTCTATTTAGGAGTTTTCTACTATTCCTATCCTGAGCTCATAAAACTGAGGCTACTGTTTTTTATTGGTATAAGTTATGAAACTGAAATAGTGTGCCTTCAGAAGAAAGTGCTATGATTGAACCATTGAATGCATTTCTCAGAGCTTAGTAAATAATAAATAAAAAGAGCATGTGAGTGTGGTGATCTGTACATAAGGTTTTGAAATGTGGCATTCCACGTTCGGCCTCAGGTCTCTTACACCCACAATCGGGGCGTATGAGATGGAAATCAATCCTCAACAATGCTTAAAGTAGAAGAATACCTTTCTGAAAAAACGTGCCCAATGTAGTTATCTTTCCCATATCTTAAACATTCAGATTTAATAAAGAAGTAAAAAATACTTCCAAAATCACCCCAGAAACAAAACTAACCATGTTTATTCATTAATTCTTTGTACTTACAGAGGGAATGGAGCAGAAAGGCCAGTCTCCTTCACCCGTGAAATGCAAAGCAAAACAATCAGAGAACCTGGAGGACGATAATGAGGGTAGGTGGGATTAAACCTCCTTGGAGTCATTTATCAGTTTTTCATTACACAAAGAGAGGCACCATTTAATTCTGAAATTATACAGTCTTCAGTTCATTTATTTGAAAATATTCCTAGTCACCATATTTACAATGCAATTTCTTTATCCCTCCCTAGTTTAGTTTTGCCCTAGGTCATGTAAGCAGAGCAAGATTTCTTTTATCTTCCCCTTGTGTGTAATTTTGGCCCTAAGTTCTTTAGCATTGATGTACTTTCTCATAGGAGAGTGAAATAACCAATATTTGGAATGCCATAATGCAGTTGGTTTTGTTTTCTGTTCGTTTGTTTATGACTGAAAAGGCAAAATAAATAGTTTTCTTGGTTGTAATGGCTATGTTTAGGTATCTGGCTGCACTGCCAGAGGTTGGGGGCTGGATTCTTTGTTGTGCCTCCTGCAGGTGGAGCCAGTCTGTGTGGCCTTGGGCAAGCTGCACAGTCCCAGGGCATGCCAGAAGAAAGGAATGGCAAACCGCTTCTGAATACTCTTTACCAGGGAAATCCTGAAAAGGGTTGCCATGAGTCAGAATGCCATGAGTGAGAAACATTTTGAACCAAGACATAATTTCCACCCATTTATGTACAAATCCACATCTATCTTAAACAGGGTTTCTGTGCTTTGAATTTCTGCAGTGTTTATCTACAGTAGATGACTTTTTTTTTTATTGGTTGATAGTGGCGGTCAGGTTAAAGAAACAGTTTTGGATACCCAAAGGATAGTAGCCAACAAGCAGCACAGTGGGTACTGTGTAAAGTCTCTGTTCCATGTGCAGGTGGTTCATGCCATAAGGGTACTCATGGGAAGGTTTTTAGATCAGGATCTTATTCAGCTAAAGAAAACTGCCATGTTATGCAAAAGTTCTTTATTAATAAAAATCATTGCATTCAGACCAGTTTAGTTTTTGGAGAACTGGCAGCTATTAAGGGCATGTCCATTCCATTGTATAGACATCAAACATAACATAGGATCGCCAGTTAGAATCAGAATTCAGGTATCTGTGAAACAGAAACATGACATTCACTTCCTCTCTTATCTGTTCTATGCTTCCTGATAACTTATTGTTTCCCAGATGCATATCTCTGGTTAATGTATCCATCCTTGAAATTTCCGGGTCCTCTTGATCCTGTCTTGCAGAACAGACCTCCATGTACCTGGTTCAGTGCCCTCATTCTAACTAGGTGAAAGGCCAGGCACTAACAAGATAGATTTCTGTCTTGTATCAGCTAAGCTAACAATAAGAATTAAGTGAAGTAAGGAATAAGTGTTACACATTATTGCATCAACACTTTAGCAATATACAGTGGTGCCTCGCTTAACGAGCACCCCCTTTAACGACGAATCCGCATACCGATGCGGATTTTGCGATCGCTTTTGCGATTGCATTGCGATGTTGACTATGGGGAAAAATCGCTTTGCGATTTTTTCCCATAGCCTAATTTTTCCCCAGCTGAGCGGCAGGAGTTTCAAAGCCCCGCCGCTCAGCTGGGGAAAAATGCTCGTGGTGGCCTCGGAAGGACCTTTCCGAAGGGTCCTTCCGAAGACACGGCCTGCATTCCCCTTCGGAAGGGGCATTTTCCCCCAGCTCAGCGGGAGCCCCACCGCTCAGCTGGGGGAAAATGTTGACGGTGGGCGGCGGCCTCAGAAGGACCCCGAAGCCACTGCCGACCACTAACATTTGCCTTCCATGCTCTCAAAGGGTCCGCCTCCAACATTGGAGAAAGCCCTTTGAGAGCTCGGAAGGCTCTCAGTGGCGGCGGGGGCAGGGTAGAGTGGATCCGGATCGGAAAAACAATAAATTAGGAAAATAAATGGTGGTGGTGAAGGATGAAAGGAGAATTGTATTGAGCCTGTTGTCTTTAAAGTAGAATTTGCTATAATACAGGAAATGAACTGCCTTCAGGCCACCTTTGGAGAAATGTGGAAAATCTTCCTTCCATGGATTTTTTATAAGAATTCATCAAAATGCACAAGTTCCTTCTTGTTTGGAATGGAGACCAATTCAGCCACTTAGAAAATCAATATGAGAAAAAAAAAACAGGGTTGCCATTTATTTTTTCCTGGACTTCCAGGCAAAGCACTGGAAGGCATCCGGACCCCACACACACACCCTGCCGCTGCCGCCACCACTTGGAGCCGCTGACTGGCAGGCCTTTCGGAGCGGCCACAGGGGAAGGGTTCTCCCGCCGTCATTCCGAAGCGCCCCAGCCGGCCAGCTGTGTGAAAGTGGGGGCTTTTCCTTCCAAAGGCCCCATTTTCACACAGCTGATCGGCGGTTCCAAAATGGCTGCCCGCGCTGCCCTCGCTTACCGAGGCGGCGAAAATGGCGGCCCTATGGAGGAAACCTCGCATAGCGGTGAGTTTTCACCCCATAGAAACACATTAAACGAAGTTTAATGTGTTTCTATGGGGTTTTCTCTCCCGCATTGCGATGTTTCCGTATAGCGACGATTAATCCGGAACGGATTAATGTCGCTATGCGGGGCACCACTGTATAGAAGATTTATATAGAGAGGGGAATAATGCTGCCTCTTATTTCCAGTTTGTCAGTACCTCCTGCAAAGCATCTATAAACAGGTGATGAGAAAGGTGTCACTTATATTGTTGCCCCTTTGTTCACTTGAGAAGGAAAGGAGAAGGGAGCTGATAAGAGAAGGGGAAAAAACAAGTAATGAAGATGGGACAAGATGTTTGGGAGGGGACTAAGAAGGGTATCTTGCCCAAACCCCCCTCACATTTCTGATGAAACCACTGAGATTGGTGCAGATGAAAAGCTAATTCCCCATCAATCACAGCCTACCAAAAACATTGTCCCTTCTTTAAGTCCTTCCCTCACACAAATCCCCCTCCCCCTATGTCTCAGCTATGGAAGTTATATACTTATCATCAAAGGTGTTAACTGTGTTTAAAAGTTAGTCAGGCTTTCCTTAATTCAGGATCTAAAACCCAGTTGATGTCTTTGTTCCAGATGTGAATACAAAGGGTTAACTGGCCCTATAGAAATCCTTAGCACTGAGATACCACAGGGTGCTGTGGAATGGTAGGGAGCACACATTCACTAGGCTGGCTCTGGATTTATTAACCGAACATTTCGGGGACTCTGTGTTATTTAAGGATCAGCCCGATGCCAAAGCGATGAGAAAAATCTGTAGGATTAATTCTTTTCTTGCCATGCAACAATTAAGAAATTAGAGGGAACTTTCAAAGTAATATCTTGACAGCCCTGCCACAGCCACTTCTGTTCAGTACTTGTACATTTTTTTTCCTGTTCCTGAGTTGTAGAGTCATTAATTTAAGAAAAGAACTCAACCTCCTTCTTCCACCTAATGACAGCCCAAACTTGCTCGATAGCAATATGAGCTGAGTAACTCATGGGAAAAGACCTGGCCTTTGTAGCCTTGGGCAAGCTGCATATTCCAAGGGTGCCCTCAAAAGAAGGGAATGGTAAACCATTTCTGAGGACTATATCTAGAAAAATACTGACAAGGGTTGTCATGCATCTGAATTAATTTGATGGTACATGAGCATAATAAATGAGAACCTAAGAAGCTTGTAATATGATAATGCTGCTTCTGTCGACTGTATAACATTTAAGCAAGTTAAGCTAAGTGCAACATATTCTGATTCCCACTTATGCAGAAAAAAGCTTTCATTTCTGTCTCTAATATGTACCCTTTTCTTTTTCTTCAGCTAGAACAATTAATAAGGAGACAACCTATACTGTAGTTGTTACCATAGCTTATTCGTACTGTTTACTAAATGCTCTGCTTCTCATTCTCTAATGGATGATGGACTAGCCATGATTAACTAAACACCAGGGGTGGCATCACATGAAAAGGCCGGGGTGAAATGCTAACTTTGACCCAAATCTTTGAGATGGACTTATCTAAAAATGTCAATTAAATAAGAGAAAGGGAAGGCATGCAATTTGCTTCTGTTCCATTTTCACACAGCATTGTTTGATTTATGACACTTCACTTCTCTGCATTTTCACCTAGGAGACCCATTGTATTAGCTGTGATGTGGCTCTGTGTGTTTATGATCTTGCCCAGGTGTTGTTTTTGGTGCACTTTATCCAAAGTGCTTATGTGCTTTAGTTGAAAAATCACAGGATTGGGCCATTAGATAGATTCATTGTTTGTGCAGCGCTTTTCTAGCATATAAACGTCTTTGACGGATGACCCAATCATCACTGGAGGCAGAGGTCAGCAAATCATCTTTAACACGGTCACTTGCAGAGTAACCCCATTACCTTTTAAAGTGAATTGTGTGAAATACAGCTGAGAAGGTAAGAGGCATAAGTTCCCTGACAAATAGGTATTCTTGCCTCCTTCATATAGAGTGTGCTTTATGCCATACTTTCACATGGACCTGCTTGGAATCTATATGGTGTTCTGGCAGTAGAGTTCACAAAGTCTGGACAGGCTTATTATTTTCTGATAATCCCTGTTGTCTATACAGAGATTTATGTTTCCAAGGTTCTTTCTCCTTTTATTTTTTTACAAATATTTTTGAGGGGGCAGAATCTGTAAGTGAAGCCTAGAAGTTCTTTCATTGACTGCCATGCTTAAAAGGTCATTTTAAAGAATTTAGAGCTATATCAAGGGTCAATTTTCATATCACAGGTTCAGTCCTTGGTATGGCACATGCAACCACACACAGATCCTGCAGGAGGGAAGTTGCCAGATATACATCTCGTAGTTTTAAAAAACTTTTGTGAATACATTGCGGCCGTTTATTCACATTGGGAATGTCAACAACAGGCTTAAATATGAAGCACCCTGGGGTTTCAACCCAAAAGCTGTTTTACAGAATGCTTAAGCATTTGTTTATATAACTTGGACTTCTGATATGGTTGAATCAAGAACCCAGGAGTTCTTACAGATAATATTTCTTTGGGGTATCAGTTCTAATTTTAAAAACAAAAATATTGGGTTGTGAACATTATTTTTAGCCATTGTTGTTG